AACCATTCTTTCTAGGAACCATCTAGTTAGTCAGTATAAGTAGGGTACTGAAGCAGATGGGCCTTTGGTCTGATTCTCTGCAGATCTTCTTAGGGTTTTATCCATTAAAGCAGTAAGTCTTTATAGTGCAAAGAACAGGGCATTCCCAGTGGTGGGACTAATGCAATAAAAAAGATAATCTCTCTTAAGAAAACTGTTCAGCTTCCTTGTTGTATTTTTTAAAATCATGCTTTAAAGTTCCTGCACTGTGTTTTGCCTACTGATTAGAGCAAATTCAAAATGAAAAAGTTTGCAAGTGGGATAAGGTTTAAAGTTAGCTTTATAGCTAATCCATTATAATGCTTCACCTGAAGTTCACAGTAGAACGGCAAGTAAATGATTTTTTAAGTAAACAAAATATTGTGCAATTCTAAGCCTGTGGGCCAAATTTAGAAAAGCCTAACAGATTTCAGTAAAAAGGAAACACAAAACAAGCAAAGACCCTGGAATGGTTGTGAAGGAGTATTTAAAAGAGTAATGCCCAGAAGGAAGGATCAGATGAGGGTCTAAAACTCTATAGGAGAACTATAGAAATGCAGCTGTCCCAAATGAGGGATGGTTCAAACAGATTTTGAAAAGCACTGAATTGTGTTTCTGGTCAGGCAACTGGAAGAGAACCACCTTGCTAAAGGAAACAAACAAACAAAGTTGGTTTTACCGACAGAAATGGGATGGCAATTGTGCCCTTTCTTTTGGATAAGAGGAGTGCTCACTATTATACAAGGCAGAAGATAGGAGGGTTTTCTTTCCCGTTACATTAGAGGAGTAAAGAACTGTACACAGTGCTGAACTACACTCTCCAGCCCCAGTCACTATTGGCCATTGCTTCTGGTACTGCTAAGATCTGCAGCTTGACAATATCTGAAACGACCAGAGGTTCTCTACCCATAAGGTTTAGGGATATGAGCTGGGACTTCTGGACCATCCAGTGTAAGGAGCATCAGACAAGTTTTGATTTCCACAAGGGCATACTTCTTTGAAGAGCATAGGGAAACTACATCTTGCTCTTTTCTTGCAGATAATGAGATTGGCTCCGTATATTAGTTTGAAACCTAAATGCTGAATCCATGACCCATCTTCAGGAGTTATCATGACCTCCTCAGGCATCCCATATTTTCTCATAATTGTGATTTCCTCAGTTTGGGTAGGACTGTGGAGGTCAAAGTTAACACTAATAACAATTTTAAGTTTCTTCTTCATACAGTTTGCTTAATTGCCTTTTAGAAATCTGAGCCAAAGTGAAGCCATATTCAGTAACCTACTTAGATAACCTGACTAGGTAGTAATTCTTACTAACTTATCTCTCCTGTGAAGCACTGGTAACCACAAAAGTGCCTCAAACCATTTCGAGACACATTCTGAGCTAATACACGTGCTCAAAACATTCCAAATGTACATTCTGTACAACATATACAGTGGGGCAAAAAAGTATTTAGTCAGCCACCAATTGTGCAAGTTCTTCCACTTAAAAAGATGAGAGAGGCCTGTAATTTTCATCATAGGTATACCTCAACTATGAGAGACAAAATGGGGGGAAAAATCCAGAAAATCACATTGTCTGATTTTTAAAGAATTTATTTGCAAATCATGGTGGAAAATAAGTATTTGGTCAATATCAAAAGTTCATCTCAATACTTGGCCTGTAATTTTCATCATAGGTATACCTCAACTATGAGAGACAAAATGGGGGGAAAAATCCAGAAAATCACATTGTCTGATTTTTAAAGAATTTATTTGCAAATCATGGTGGAAAATAAGTATTTGGTCAATATCAAAAGTTCATCTCAATACTTGGCCTGTAATTTTCATCATAGGTATACCTCAACTATGAGAGACAAAATGGGGGGAAAAATCCAGAAAATCACATTGTCTGATTTTTAAAGAATTTATTTGCAAATCATGGTGGAAAATAAGTATTTGGTCAATATCAAAAGTTCATCTCAATACTTGGCCTGTAATTTTCATCATAGGTATACCTCAACTATGAGAGACAAAATGGGGGGAAAAATCCAGAAAATCACATTGTCTGATTTTTAAAGAATTTATTTGCAAATCATGGTGGAAAATAAGTATTTGGTCAATATCAAAAGTTCATCTCAATACTTTCTTTTATACTGATAACAAGGTCAAACAGGTGCCATTACTACAGGTAACGAGTGGAGGACAGAGGAGCCTCTTAAAGAAGTAGTTACAGGTCTGTGAGAGCCAGACATCTTGCTTGTTTGTAGGTGACCAAATACTTATTTTCCACCATGATTTGCAAATAAATTCTTTAAAAATCAGACAATGTGATTTTCTGGATTTTTCCCCCCATTTTGTCTCTCATAGTTGAGGTATACCTATGATGAAAATTACAGGCCTCTCTCATCTTTTTGAGTGGGAGAACTTGCACAATTGGTGGCTGACTAAATACTTTTTTGCCCCACTGTAATCCTATGCATGTCCGTGATTGAATTGCATACAAATACAGTATACTTAAAGAATAGTATAATGAAGCTAATGAATGATGCATAAAGCTATCTATAAAGTGGGGGGTTGATTTGCTTGTGCTTTACTACTGAAATGCTGTAACTAGGTACTGCTCCTTTCATGCAAAGTAAAAGAACTAAAGCTTCAACAACTCTTTCTAGTTGCCTCATATACCATTGTGGAAAAGTCCATTATAGGATTCTAGAGGAATATGGCAATAACCTCGAATAAAGAATGCAAGAGCAGTTAAAGAAACATCAGCTTGGCCCCGAAAGGAAAGAGGGTGAGAAAGAAACTCAAGATTGTCCTACCTTGGTTCTCTTTGGTATAAGAGGGGGAGAAGAGAAAAAGAACTGTCAGGCTTTCAGGATTAATGTCAGCTATTCTAGGTAGACTGAGCCAGGAAACAGACTCCAGAATACCTACTAGAACTCTATATTGCAGGATATAACAACAGAATCACCCTCTCCTCTCTTTCAGGGCTAAGCTGATGTTTATGTCCTTGCATTCTTTCTTCAAGATTGTATTTTTCTACAAGGATATGCCTATTGGTTGCATGCAGGGGAACACAAGCAAATAGAAACCACGTCATCCATCCTTACCTGGGCAATCTCCCCTTCTGCCTCTTGGAGGACTTGTTTGGCCAGATCCCTCTGTAGAGTCACAAAAGAACATAATATGCAGGTCAGCCACTTCAGGGCCACATGGTTGAATGTAGGAAGCTCAGATACTAGCAAGGAGTTAATGGTAAGATAGGCCTTCATATTAGCCTCCTCCTCATAGGTCACACTGCCCGTCTCATTCCTCTTCTCCTCATATTCCTCATAGTCAAGCAGCTTGTCCGAGCGCTTCTTAATCAGTTTGTGGGGTCCTTTCAGAGTCTCTGACAAGTTGCACAGTGGCTTATATACAAGGTGCTCAAGCCTTCGCTTCTGTAAAGGAAGAGATGCAGACTTTTCTCAAATCTTGAACTCCTTTGCTCTATTCTGAAGTGGAAAATCAGAAACCTTTGGGCTGAGGCTTTCTGGTTCCTTCTCCTTGCTGTGTGCCTGATATTTACAGAAACTTTAGATAACCTATAAAAAGCTCAAAGAACTTGCTTTGAAACTTTGGAGTATACATCTGACATTATGCTCCACTGGTCAGAAATCTGTTCATTAGGTAAAATGAAGACTCCACCTTGAAGAAACCCTCTATCTCACAATGGTGTATTATCATTATGGTCTTCAGATATGCTGAGACTACAACTCCCAAATCCCCAGTTTGCCTGCAGATGGGGGGAGTGTGAGAGGGCAAGGCCAAAATGAATCAACCTGATCCTCCCCCCCTCCCCAATTTTGGCAAACTAGAAATGAAATGATACTTACATAGACAGGAAAGATGGTGCTGTGAAGCTTTCTTGCAAGGGAACAATATGGTTGGGTAGCGGTTGTTTCTGCATCCAACTCATCCTCATGTGGTTGAAAACTAAAGAACACCTAAAAGAAAGAAATGAATCTGGTAACCTAAAAAACATGATTTTATTGGGAAGATATCCAGTGAAACATGCCAAATCAGTCTCTCCTGGGCACTCAGAAAAGCCAGTTACAAAGACTTGTGGTTTTTCAGAAATGCACTATTATTTATTGAAAAGCAGTGCTTTTCAGGAGTTGTTAAAAATGCATGAGTTATAGCATTCTATCTAAAGTAGGCAAAGGAAAAAGGGGGCGAGGGAGAGAGATTGGGAGGAAGGGGAAAGGAAAACATTTGCTAGGCTCCATAAGGGTTGGAAAGTGGTGAATTGTGATCACAGATTAACATTTTGCCATTGTCCAGCTTTTATAGAGTCAAAACAACTCTCTGTTCTGATTTCTACTTCAAAATTGCAGCTTACATAAAGAATCAGTGAAAATGCTTTATACATTACAGGTGTTATTAGTACTTGGTACCAGTTATGTTATAGATATCGCTGTGAAGTCTCATTCTGGGAGAGTCCTGGTATGTGTGTGCTGAGGTTGGAGCAAAAGGTTGATTTGACCAAAACTTAATGCAAAAGTTTCATGAATCTCCTCCCAACTTTGCTTTATTAAATCATTTCACAAATTTATCCGCATACTTATATAGGTGTTTCCATTGTTCAGAGTCTACTTCTAATTAAATATGCATAGATATCAACATAAACATGGTAATCTGTAGAGCAATTTAGTTCTGGCCTTGGCCTTGAGAAGGAGGTGGGAACCGGTTACTCAGCCCTGGGAAAGTAAAAAGCATGAGAAACAGAAAACTCCTCCCTTGACCTTGTCCTTAAAAAGGGTGAAGGTTTTGTACAGGCTTTCAAGATTCTGTTAATATTCCCCCAACAGTAATGAAGCATTCCTAGAATTCCTGCAGTGTCTCTTTTCTTGGCCTGGCCTACCTTGAACAGCTGACATCTCCCCTTCATCTCAAAAAGGTCACTTCAGATATCTTTTAAACTCTATTTAAATTGTGAGTGGTTTTTTTTTTTTGCAAGATGTGCATAACTAAAACAAAATCGAAGTGTTTAAAATGTGCCTCCTAGTTACATATGTCAAAGCAGGGTTGCCTAAGAGGAGTCTGCAGTATTGTTGCAATCAATCTGAAATCTCTTGCATAATCCTGATGAGGAAACACTCTGTGGGATACTTTCTTACCAATTGTGTCTGATGTCCTTCTCTGTGGAGCATCTGTGGCTGCTAAGCATATATTTTCTTTACTTGGCTGGGTTGCTTGATTCTAGAGAAGAGCTCATGCTGCTGCCGCTGCCGCCAACTCTGCCCTTTCCTCTTCCTCCTCCCCCTCCTCACATTTTTAATATTCCCCCCCCCCAATTTCCCCACCCTTAATGGCCTATGATAGAGCTTGGTGGCCATCCAATCATTCCTTCCAGTTCAGAGGTATGGGTATATTTATACTGTACTTCCAGTATCCTACCTGCCATGTGGTATGTCAGAAGGTTGGGAATTTTTCTTCCTCATGACTTCTCACATAATTCCATTGCTATTGGCTATTCTTTTCTGTTGATTGGTTGATTGTTCCTGGAACGTTCATTTAAATGTCCCCAAAATATCTAGCTGACGCATGTTCAACATACTTAATCTCAAGAGTAGGAGAATTCAGTATCTGCCAATGCTGTTAACAATTTTGAAGACGGTGCTTCCTGTTTTGGTTCCTGAGAGCCAGACAACAAAGTATATTCTTCTGATGCTGCTTAGTTGGTTTCCATAGTTTTGGACATAAAAAGGAAGCAATAGGCAGTCCAATGCTCAGGAGTACTTGAATGTATGCTAATATGTTCCTTTTCTAAGATTTGCTCCCACATTAAAAACTGTAATGGCTGGGCCTATCTTAATTCCTACAAAAAAGCATCATTTCTCTCTCACAAGAATATTTCTTCATCCTAATGCCTTTCCAATTTGGATGAGCAGCCCATGAACATATGTAAACTTTAAATTTGGAAATAGCAAGCAAGATTAAAAGCTCAGCTAGAGATCTGCCAGGCTCTCATTTCAAAACCGTTGTGCTGCAAAGATCTGCCTCTGTTGCCATTTTCTGCTGCCATTTTACTATATGCCCTTATAACAGCAAGCACCAGATAGGAACCGATGCTAAAATTGATTCGCACATGTGCTACTACTAAAATCCATTGTTTGTGTACATGGCATAGATTGCCATTCATTAAGTTCACCCCAGTCCATTTCATACTTTTCAAGAATTATTTGAGTTTACTGCCCGTAGTATTAGAGGCACAGCAATTATGTCCAGGAGTTAACTTTCCCTGAACTGATTAAACCCTCTTATATTTTATAATCAGATAATTTCCTGATTATTCAGAACCAATCCTTATCATATTTTAGGGAAGCATTTAAAGTCTCACCAACCACCACTCTTCCTCTAAATTCACTATAGTTTTTCTTTTCCCCCCCAAAAAAATCTTCTTAGCATGCAATGAAATGTTTTGGCAGGGGATTTGCACTGACTGAAGAAAGTATTTATTCAGCAAATGGCTTCTCATGGGCACTGCGGTTGACTACAGGTTCCCCTGCTTTAAAAGGGAAATCCTCAAATTCAGGATAGTGGAGAGGTGTATTGGTGGTTCTTAAAGTGTCCAGAATAAGAGAAAGTATCTCTCTGAACTACTGTGGAGAAATTGCAGGAGAAGGCTATTGTTTTCATGTCTTACTTATGGGGTCTACTGAGAAAGCTGATTGGCCCCTTTGGGAATCAAATCCTGAACTAGACAGGAATTGGACGTTTTATAATTATCCTGTAGAGCAGAGGTGAGTGACCTGAAGCACCAAGACTGCATGTGCTGCTGAAAACCTTATGTGTGGCCTCAGAGACTTCTAAATGTTGGTATCAAATTGCAATTCTAAACAGGTTTCTAGACAGTGAGAACTTATTTTAATGGACTATGTGGGGAGAGGGGGTCTCTATTATTCACAAACATCCAGTGATGTACCCATCAGAGGGTACATCATCAGAATGACTAATATAATTTGTGTGGTGACATCATCACAGAAACAGCATAAAAAAGTCCTATTTTTGTCAATTTATTCTATGATAACATCATTATGCAAATGATTTAAATTGCAGCAGAATTTGGTCCCTTGCATGTAAAGTCCCTTGCATTTAGGTTTGGTAAGCTGAGGTTTCACAGTAATGCCAGGCCAGTCAGAACCCTGGCATTTGTGGAAGTCATTATTTCTTGTGAAAGAAGAAGGTGAATAGGGAGTCACATTAACATGGTTTATAAATGGCCAATGCTCTCTTTTTCTTACTTTAAAATGCTCACACAGATACTTTAGAGTAGTGTAAGGGTTCTTCTTCTATCTTCTTCTTACGATGGTCACCTGACCATCACCTTGTAAGAAGAAAGAATACTGAAGCACACAAGGAAGGGTTATTAACATTCTTAAAAGAAAGAAAAAAAGGGGGAAAATTGTCACCAACAAGGTTAAGCAACATCTCCCCCTACCCAAGCTCTATTTGCTCTGCTTCAAAGTTGCTCTATTCTCTTCACAAACAGGGTAACTTTAAAGCAGGGGGAATATTTGGCATAACGCTAACTTTTAATGTGACAGATGGGAGCAATAATTAAATACATGATTGGAGAGTAATCATATTACTTATATTTAATTAAATGTAAATGACATCAAATTTAGCTTTTGCTCTGGCACCACTCAGTACTTTTTGGAATGCAGCCCCTGGCTAACCATGGCTATCAGCCCAGAAAATGTTGTGCATCCCTTCTGTAGGGATCTGTTGGGTTCCCCCCATCTCCCACTTGCTTATTCTTATTATGCTTCATAAATGGGGAGGTATTTTTTTTTAGTTCAGGGCCATGTGTCACTCTTAGCAAACTTCTGATATTATGGCACAAACTTAATCTCACATTTCTAGACATTGTTCAAGCTCTCTATTTTTTACAAAAGTATTTTTTTCAAACTTCCTACCTGCATCAACATATACTGACATGCTTCCAGGGTTCTGTTCAAACATTTAAAAACCCCTAGTATTTTCCTTCCAAATGTTCACTGGAATCCTTAGGAGCCCAGCTTAGCTACTGTTCCTTCTTTTTTGTCCCCTGCCCTCTTTTCAAGTTCTCCAAGGTCAATTCCCCAAAGAAAGGGGAATGATAGGAACAGGTGGCAGAGGGTCATGGTTACTTGGTTTTCTGAGCTTCATATTATTTCCAGCTGGGAATCATGGAAGCTTGGTTGTGAGCCCAGTAAAATTCCATTAACGATGAAGAAAGTTTTGCTAGGTTCAAACTAAGGTTCTCTCATTCAAGATGGGGGAAGCTTGCATTTTGAGCTGCTCCTTTGTGAATACGTGTCCCACCCACACATTCAGAATGTATTAATGGGGAAAGAATACATACATACAAATGGAAAATTGTACAGATTACTTCCAAGACAAGAGTTAAATGAAATACAGGTAGTCCTCAGTTTAAGAATGAATTCTGTTCCCAAGGTCTGCGTTAAGTCGAATTTGTATGTAAGCTGGAACAGTATTATTGTATTGTATTGTGTAATTAACTCAAATCATTGTGTATTTAACTTGAATCATTGTGTATTTAACTCAAATTTTGCTACAATAGGCTCCGTTCTTAACTATGGGTTTTCTGTAATCCGGGTGTTTATTATTGTATTGTATTGTGTAATTAACTCAAATCATTGTGTATTTAACTTGAATCATTGTGTATTTAACTCAAATTTTGCTACAATAGGCTCCGTTCTTAACTATGGGTTTTCTGTAATCCGGGTGTTCTTAACCCAGAGACTGTATAGCAAATATATTGGTGCAGTTGCTGCCTGAAGTTCAGGACAGGAGGAGAAACTAGAGGTTACATACTGGTTGTGCATATACTTGTTTTACCGTATCTTCTCCACAGACTTTCTTAAATAGACTCAGCTGCTCCCCATCTTGCAAAAACAGACTTAATGGATCAGGGTAACTATATTCTTACTAACAGCCTTCAAATTTAATACTGTGGACTTCTCTTCAGTCCTGATTCGAAGCAATTTCTGATCAATTCCAGAAACATTGGTAGAGACAATGATGGATTATCAACTACAAAAAGAAATCTCTAGTTTCTACACTGTGCACCAATTCCATGAGCTAGGTTCAACATTAGATACAAAAATGTTACCTCTGTATTGTCCAGAAAACATGCCACATTCTCTTTCAGATCAATTATAGCTGATGCCAATAAGTGAAACTTTTCTTCCAGTTTATCAAACTCTTTGTCCTCTGTCTAAAGATCATAGAAAAGAAACTGTTATATTTTGTCAGAAGACAGCCTACAGGTAGTAAAAGATCAGTACTAAGCAATAGGATGATAGGAAAGAAAATAGGATGCCACTAATGGATACTGACTTTTTCTGACAATCATGAAATGACAATCATATTTATAAATTTATGTTGCAAATGATCAGGAGTATGCTATGCAAAGCAAGTATCTGCCATCTTTGGAGTTCCAGGAAATTAAATATTATTTCTGATAAATGCATGCCATGGATCAACAGAAAATTCTCATGCACAGCATACATTCTTCTCCTGGATCTTGGAAGAGACAAGATGTCAAACTGCTGGACGCTTACTATACGAAGAGAGGATAGATGATTGAAGGAAATTTATTTCAGTTGGAAAAGCTGATTTCCCTAAATTTGCTTTAGTTCTTAAATTTTCTTTTCAGGTTCATTTCATTGCCCTAAGGTGGCTAGGTTGAGAGTTAGGGAATATGACTCCAATACAAATCTTCACACAGGCTTCCCACTGCAGTCAGACAGAGATAAGCTAATTTTAAGGAGGGTCATAATAGTTTGTCTTCTACAGACAGGAACAGTGCTAAACCCAATACCTCAATTAGGGATGTAATGAGGAGTGGAAAATGCTCAGCATACTTGCACCACTACATAAATTACTACTGCTGTCGTTACATGTAAAAGAATCATCCTCAGCCAGGTCACAAGCAGAAGTTGTTATGTGAGGTCCTCCCAAAATGTGTCATGATCCCAAAATGAGGTACATGAACTTTGAAAGACTACAATGTGATAACATACTGCTATCTATGAAGCAACCTGAGGACATCAGGGTGAATTCAGTTGAGTGGAATGGAAACTATGGGTGAGATTGAGGGGCCTGGAGTCTAAATTTCCTCGAGTACTCAATCTCTATAACTGTATATATCCTCTCTTCATTCTTCTTTACCATTCCAGGTCACTGCTGGGCATTCAATACCAGGACATAGGGCAAAATGACATATACTTACCTTGGTCACAATTCCAGTTTCATGCATGAAGAGGCGGCTCAGCCGTGCAGTCTTCTTGGCAATGGAGTGTGTATTGATGCGGGCCAGACGTTCTCGCAGAGTCAGGTACCCAGCCTTCTTGTATTTGTCTGCTGTTCTCAGTCCAAGGGAGGAGAAGTTGAGAAACGTAACAGAACAAGAACAAGTTATATGAGGTGGTAAGAAAATGTTCTGGGTATTTGATGATTCTTCAGTAGAAATAAGAAAAAGAAGACCATGGGAAAACTTATTTTGATACCTTTGGATACACCAATTAACAATAAGCTAAAAATGGACTATAAAATTGCCATGAGAAAATAGTTTTTCTGCCTTCAAAAAAGTAATCAGATATAGTCTCAAGAGGTTACTTCATATCCATTGTCTCTTCAGCTGCAGGAGAATATATATCAGCTTTTCCTTCCCTGGCAAACCCCAGATGTAGTGGACTGTAACTCCTATCACTCCTAGGAAAGCACCCTGGTTGAGAATGATGGGAGCTGTAGTCCAACACATCCACTGGGGGAGGCAGATGAATGCTCTGCTGTGGTTAGACAAACAATATTGACAAGACAAACCTACAGATTGCTACATTAACAGCTTATATCATATTGAAAGCTGATTTTTTTTCTATTCCTTTTGTTTTAGTTCAACTTCGAAGCTAACTTCATTAATGGCTGGTTCCAATCCAGTATTGTGTATTCCTCAGGCCCACTTGGTCAACTCTCCCAAAGCAGAACTGTGCCTTCAAATGTATCTTTCTTTTCAAAATGACCTCCTCTGCTGTTTGCATGTTTGGAAATGCAGCAGAAATTTCCTGTTTATGAATAATGCTGCCCATCGTGCTTTAGACCCAGACCTATAAGTGAGTTATAGCTGATTAATTTCCTACATTGCAAATGCTGACGCAGGAAACCACTTGCAGTTCAGAGGCAGAATTGATGCTAGAATCACATTTTTAAAAAGTGCTTTCCTTTTGTTTTTGTTTGCCATTATTAAACTTCCAATATCCCTAGGTCAACTCAAAGAAATTAGATCACAACGTCTTGCAAAAATACAGCAAGAATTCCATACAGTCTGTCCCATTTGACCCACTCCAGATATACTGGATTACAATTCTCAGACAAATCCTTGTAGGGATTGAGGGTTGTTGGAAGTTGCTGGCATTTTGCAATAGACATAGCCCAGAGAAGATCACCTTCCCTTACCTACTTCCTTCTGCCCTTTGTACTCATTGATATTGGTATTGACATCTATCATAGCTTTGGTGGCAGCCTGAAGGGCTCCATAGGCACTGTCAGTGTCTGAAGTGTTTTCCAAAATCTTCTGCAGCAGCAGTGGGTACTTTGTGATCCGTTGCACTGGCATTACCAGGAAGAAGCTCAGGTCCGAAGCACCAGTGTGAGGCCTGATCAAGAAATGCATAAGAATGTCAGTCAGTGCATTTTGGCTCCCTTCAATCAAGCAATGCTATCTCTTGGGCCCAGGAAGCATACTTTGGTGCCTGCTCTCTGGAACAAGATCCCCCCAGAGATCCATGTCACCCCCCCTCCCATCCTGATGATATTTCAGAAGTATTTGTGGAACTCTGTAGGTGATGTTTTTGTTTAAAGGCAATGGGTTTGTCTGGATGCAGGGATTTTCTTGCTGATTTTTCTTGTTTTCTTTCTTGTTCTCATTTTATGTAAGCCACCCAGAGTAATTTTGCAATGAGTGTCCTCTAAATCTCATAAATAAATTAACAAATAACAGGATGTAAAGAGGCTTTAGAATGTTCCAGCTCTCCCCAACTGGGGAGCTGAACATTTAATGTGTATTTAACAGACAGGCAGGATCTGTATTTTACATCTGCATTTGTTTGTTTGTTTGTTTTACATCCATCTTTATTTTGTACAGCTCAAGACAGTGTACATAATACTCCTTCCCCCCAACCTGGTGAGGTGGGTTGGGCTGAGAGAGAGTGACCAGCGCAGTCATCCAATCGCCTTCCTTGCCTAAAGGAGGACTGGAGATCCCAGCCTCCCAGTTTCTAGTCGAGCATCTTACCCACTACACCAAAATGACTGTTTTTTGTTTGAGCCTGCAAAAAAAACAAAACAAAATCCTTGAACAAAATACAATAGCCTCCCTCACTTCATAATATTCCAAGTATCTCAGATATCCATCTGAGAATCAACCTCAGATTATTTTGCTTGATTTCAAATAAAGCTAGGGCATTCAATCTTTAAAGCCCAATGGTGCACGGTGACCATATCATTGCCTGGAACATGGGCAATCCACCATCATGTTTGAGGTATACACATTAACCATGATTAACAGTGCAGGCCTGACAGGAGGATTCCTGCTGCTGCTATTTCTGCTGCTCTGTTAAGTTTGAATGAGGTTTTGTATTGTCGAAGGCTTTCACGGCCGGCATACGATGGCTGG